CAGGTCCTGGGCACTGTAACACAACTGAGGCACAATGAGACCTTAAATAGCCTTTATGAATATGACAGAGGATATGCATAAATCCTTTAAAGAAACCTATGAAGACACAAATAAACAGTGAAAGGAAATGGAGAAAACAATTCAAGACCTGAAAATGAAAACAGAATCTATAAAGAAAACCCAAGAAACCGAGGAAAATCTGAAATGAAAAATGTAGGCACTTGAACAGGAACCTCAGAGACAAGGCTCACCAACAGAATAGAAGAGGTGAAAGGGAGATTCTCAGGCATTAAAGATATGCTAGAAGAAATGGGATTTCAGTCAAAGAAATGTAAGTCTAAAAAATTCCTGGCACAAAATATCAAGGAAATTTTGAGGCACTGTGAAAAGAACAAATCTAAGAATAACAGGGAGGGAGGAGGGAGAAGGAGTAGAGGCAGAAGCTCTGGGGTTAGAATAAGACTGGCCTCCATAGGGCAGGTGCTGGTGGTACACACCTTTAATCCCAGCACTTGGGAGGGAAAGGAAGTCGGATCTCTGTGACTTTGAAGCTAGCCCGGTCTACAGAGCGACCAGGATGACCAGGGCTACACAGAGAAACCCTGTCTCGAAAACCAAAACCAAAACAAACAGAAAAAGAAAGAAAGAAGAATGGCCTATATGGTCTCCATAAATTCATAGATTTGAATGTCTAGTCATCAGAAAGAGGTGTGGCCTTGTTGGGGGAAGTATGTCACAGGGGTGGGGATAGAGGTGTGAGGGTGGGTTTTGTGCACAAGCCGGACCCAAGGCTTCTCTCTCTCTCTCTCTCTCTCTCCTCTCTCTCCCCTGAAGATTTGGATGTAGAATGCTCAGCACTTCTCCAGCCTCATGTCTGCCTGCATGCTGCCATGCTTTCCACAGTGGCTTAAACCTCTGCAACTCTAAGCCAGCCCCAATGAAATGCTTTCCTTTATAAGAATAACTGTGGTCAGGGTGTCTCTTCATAGAAATAAAACACCTTCTTAGATAAAGGCACAGACAATATTTTCAACAAAATTATAGAATAAAATTTCCTTAACCTAAAGAAAGAGAAGCCTATCATAGTACAAGAAGTATACAGAACACCAAATAGACTGGACCAGAAAAGAAAGTTCTCTCAGCACATAATAATTAAAACCCTAAATATACAGAACAAAGAAAGAATACTAAGAGTTGCAAGGGAAAAGGACCTCTGGCTTCTCAGTGGAGACTCTAAAAGCTAGAAGGGCTTGAACAGATGTGCTGTACACTATAAGAGACCACAGATGATATCCCAGACTACTATGCCCATCAAAATTTTCAATCACCACAAATGGGAAAAATATGATATTCCATGATAAAGTCAAACATAAACAATAGTTACTACAAATCCAGGCCTCCAAGAGGCACTAGAAGGAATATTCCAACCTAAGGAGGTTAAGTGCATCCAAGAAAACACAAAGAATAAATAATCCCACACAAGCAAATCAAAAGAAGGGAACACACACACCACAACAAAATAACAGGAATCAACAAACACTGCTTATTGATATCTCTTAATATCAATGGTCTCAATTCCTCAATAACAGATACAGACTAACAGAATGAATGCACAAACAGCATGCATTCTTTTGCTGCATCCAAGAAACACACCTTAACTTCAAGGACAATATCACTTCAGGGTAAAAGGTTAGAAAAAGATATTCCAAACACATGGATCCAAGAAGCAAGATGGTGTGGCCATTCAGTATCTGACAAAATAGACCGCAAACCCAAACTAATCAGATGAGATAGAGGACACTTCATACTTATAAAAAGGAAAAATTCACTAAGAGCATGTTGCAGTTCTCAACATCTCTGCCCCAAACACGAGGATACCTAAGATTGTAAAACAAACATTCCAACAGCTTAAATCCCGTATTGACCCTCACACACACAAGAATTGATGTAATACTCTGCATCCTATCTGACCATCCTGGGTCGAGGCTGGATATCAACAACAGAAACATCAGAAAGCTTACAAACTCCTGGAAATGAAAGACTTTCTAGAATTGAATGAAAATGAAAAATAACATACCCAAACTTGTGGAACACAATGAAGGCTATTCTAAGAGGGAAGCTGATAGCACAAAGTGCTTATGTTAAAAACAATTAGAGAGATCCCATATTAGTAACTTAACAGCACACCTAAAAGCTCTAGGAAAAAAAAAAAAAGAAGAAACCACACTCAAAGGAGTAGGCAGTAAAGAAATAATCATACTCAGGGCTGAAATCAGTAAAATAGAAACAAACAAGCAAACAAAAAAAAATTACAAAAAAAAAATCAATGAAACAAGGAGTTGGATCTTTGAGAAAATCAGTGTATTGACAAACCCTATCCAAATTAGCTAAAAAGCAGAGAGAAAAGATCTAATTAACAAAATCAGAAATGAAAAGAGGGAAAAATCAGCAGACACTGAGAAAATCAAGAGACTCATAAGGACATACTTTAAACATCTAATACAATAAAAAATCTCCCTAAAAATATACATATATGGAGGCAATCAAAATGAAATTGTTAAATAATAGGGGAGACAGAGCCCTAACTGGCCATGTTTTGTCACCAAATGTATCTCCAGTACCGGGATGGGGTTACATCTAATTGAGTTGATGGCCAAAGGAGACACACAGGTATCCCCAAACAACTCAGGCTCTTGCCAAGACTATAAGTTGCTCTCCATAAACTGATGGCAGGGCTTGATAGATGAGAACACCCACACAAGTCACTGAAGATGAAGAAGTTGAGCTGGTGCCTATATAGAGCCTTCACCTGTATGCTCTAGTATCTTTAATATACAGGAAGATACTCTGCATGTTACCAAAAACAAAACAAACAAACAAACAACAAAACACTAAACACCAACCCAGACACAAACTGATGGACCAGCCTGACTCCATTAGAGGCCATCTTAACTGGGCAGTGGTGGCACACACCTTTAATCCCAGCACTTGGGAGGCAAAGACAGGTGGATCTCTGAGTTCAAGGCCAGCCTGGTCTACAGAGCAAGTTTCAGGACAGCCAAGGATTCACAGAGAAACATTGTCTCAGAGACTGCCCCCCCCCCCAAAAAAAAAAAAAAATCAGAAGTCACTTTGTTACTAGGTCAAAATAAGTTCATTCCTAATTGCTGTAAAACTTGGGTTTTACCATGTCTTGACCCATTTTCTGGAATCTAACTTGTTCCACTAACTATACCCTGACCTCCACCCTGATGATAAGATCCTCCGGAAATCCCACAACACTTGAAAACCCCCTTGTCTTGCAATTCTTGAGTTATATAAACCCCACCTTCTCCTGCATTTGATTCTGTTCTTTCAAACCCTGCTTTATGGAGACAGTCCTGTCTGACAGAAAATAAAGCTTGCTCAATTCGACTAGAGAATTTGGGTAATGCTCTTTACTCTCACTTGGTGCGATTAACAAAACCCGTTGGTCCACAATGGTGTCCTGCCTGCAAGACATGCTGGGCAATGGTGGCAGGAATCTTGTGGGAGTAAACAGTCAATATCTGATTTGACTTAAGGTCCGCTTCACGAGATCGAACCCTGCTTGGGTGACCAAGAATCTGAGACTAGGTAGCCCAGGGACCTAGGGCTAAACCAAATACTACTGTTCTGCTAAAAGAGCATAGTAATAAAATGCCTGCTAAAGACATTCTGCTACACTCATAGATCAGTTCTTTGGTCAGCCATCATCAGAGAAGCTTCTTCCTGCAGCAGATGGGAACAAATACAGAGACCCATAGCCAGACATTATGCAGAGTGAGGGATCTTGGAATATTCAGTTCTAGCTGAAATTCAGGGAACCCTGTGGACGAGGTGGCAGAAAGAGTGAGATGGAGGGCACTAAGAAAACACAGCCCAGTAAATTAACACGATCGAAATTCATCTGAACTCAGAGACTGAGGCGGCACGCACAGGGCTTTCATAGGTCTGCGTTGAATTCTTTGCATCTATGTCATGGCTACTAGTGCTTTTGTGGTTATTCCTGAGTGTTGCAACCAATGGGTCTCTGGTTCTTGTGAATTCTCTTGGGCTCTTTCTGCTTATCTAATTCTGATATGATAGGTTTTGTGTTATATACTGTATTATTATACCTTAGAAATCTGTTTGTTTTCTAATGACAGACAGAAAGGGAGTGGATCCAGATGGAAGGGGAGGTTGGAACTGGGAGTAGAGAGAGGGGAAACTGTACTCAGGATATGTTATGTGAGCAAAAAGAATCTATTTTCAGTAAAAGGAATAACAATTTTAAAATAAGTGATTAAAAACACTTCATCTGTTCATGGACATTTAGTTTCTTCCACTTCTTGGCTACTGAGGATAATTCTGTAAAGAAGGTGGACGTATAAATATTTTGGAGACTGACGTGTTTTATTTTACAGGTGGTGGTGACCACTCTCAACTTTGCTGATACATGCAGCCAGAAAATTCTGTTGCACATGGCTATCCAATCTGGAGAATACTTAGCAAGTACTTCCTGGTGACAACCGTAGCTCCATGGAAACACTCTGGAGTTATATACCTGACTGTTATATGAGGGAAGGCTCTGTGAGATTTGCAATGTGTTTGTTTTTACCTTTCAAAAATAGCAGAAGTCACAAAACTGTCATTCAGAACGCTGAAGCTTTCCGGACTCGAGACCATCAAAGCCACTGGCCCAAGGATGAGTCTGCGTACTCCAACATCAAGCTTGCCTTCGCAGTGCACACTGGGACTTGTAGTCCCAAACTTCTCTCGCTCCCCGCCCTACGGCGTTACCACTTCCTCACTAGGTTTAGTGGTGCGGCTTCCGGAAGTTGAGGCGTGTTAAAAGCACTACGTTCTTTTCCCCCGCCTCTTCATTCCCCAGATTGACAGTACTAACAGCCAACAGAAAACCGTACTTGTGCGTCCTGTTACATGATTGGTTTGGAGTTTTGTAACCGGCCAGACAAACAAGAGGAATTGGCTGAGCCACGGTTTTGAAAATCATAGATTCGCCCGCGCTCACCGCCCCGTTGGTCCTCGGCTGCAGCGAGTCGTCTGGACCGGCTCTCTAGCGCGCCCCGCTCGGCGGGAAGCTCATCTGCGGAAGCCGCAGACTGGAATCAGAGTAGTCGGTGCAGACACGGCGCCGTCGGGTGAGTGAGCGTGGGCTGCTGGCGTGGCGGGGTTGCTGTGGTCGGCATCTGGTTCCGGCCGCTTCTCTGCCCAGGCCGGGCCAGGGTCGTCACCTTCCCTCGTTGCCTGCGGACGTGGGGATCACTTTCAGTGATACTGGGCTTGGAGATGACCTCCACGACTCTGCGCCTGAGCTCTGGGATCTAAGAATAGTCAGTCCCCTCCCCCACGCAGGGCCTAACACCTTGTGTAGAGCCTTGGCTGCTCTGTGGTCCTGGAGCTGAGTCTCCAAACGGTAACGGCTGTTTAGTTTCTCGCATACCAGCTTGAGCATTTCGAAACTGTCTCAAGTCCGGAGGCCGATCCTGCCACTTATTTTATCATTCCCGCAAGTTTGTTTAGTCTCTTGTCAGCGGCGTAGTTCCATCCAGGGTCGGGATTGTGTCGTTCTGAGCTTGTAGCTATTGTCCTGGAGGCCTGTGGCTAGTGATTAAGAGCATTTTAAATCCAGGCACCGCCCACCGATTTCCTGGGTAACTTTGACCTAGACTTCTTGTTACCTTGTATGTACGTCGGTATCTTGGAGTAGGTGGCAAGAAGGAAATTGTAAGGGTCCTCGCCCTGGCTGAGTAGGACTCAGAATGGAAGAGCGGTGGATCTTCGTGCTTGGAGGTGTGTGGAGAGAGGTGCTTAGCTCACTTCCTGCACCCTTAGAGGAGATGGCAGTGGAGGCGCTGATCTGGTGAATGGCATGGAGAGGAAGTGATCTCCCTTCTCGCTTGGTGGGATTTGGGTGCTCTGGTCCTTTCATGGGGGGGAAGGTGAAGCTACCTCGGAGTCTGATTCTTGTTTCACCCCTCCTTTCCTCAGGGTCACCTCTTTTAATTTCCAGTGAGGGCTTGCTAGGAAGCACAGTTCCCCGTGCAAGAAGTGTGGTTTTGGGCTTGGTGAAAGAATCGCTTGGTCAGATTGGCAAGTTTTGTCAAGTTTCCCTCTTGTGGCCTTCTGTAGCCCCTCCGTAAGACCTTGGTATCTTTCTCTCTTCTGGCCTTGAACTGAGGTCTCGGACTTTTCCAGGGCTTGTTTCTGGTGCAGATGGATGGGGAGACTCAGAGGAAAGGCCATGGCCATGATTAGCTGGCTGCTCAGTTAATGCTATTTTCTAGAGCCTCAGTGCTCCTATCCATTTGTTTTTACTCAGTTAGTGCTGTTCTTTGCAGTCAGGTCTGGGGCTTTGGGTGTGTATTGGCCTGTCCTAACCTGTGCCTAGTGATTTAGTCACTGAGTGTCCCTGTGTGGTGGTGAGGCAACCTTTAGGCTTAGTTGAGGGATGGATGAATTCATTCCACAAGTGCCAAACATCTAGAGGGCAACACATATTTCTTGTTGATGAGAAGGCTAAGGCCTTACCACAGGGAGATGTGTTTAGTGGGTAGAGACCAGCAGTAAGCAGATATAAACAATCACTCATTTGCTGTACACATAACTGGTGTGTGAGATTTTGGCTTGATCCTCCCTAAGGATCTAAGAGCTAAGTGAGGAAGCCATACAGAACTGAGACAGAGTTCCTAGGGGGCAGAGGAGGGTGTGCCTCACAAATCAGACTGAAGTTCCAGAAGGATCAGGGGGATCAGTAATCTAGTCCTTCCTTCTGTAACCTTAAAGAAAGGCTGAAGTGTACAAGCATGGCTCTTACTTTTGAAAGAGTGAGGGTGGTGGCTCACTGTCCTGTGAAATCTGAGCTATTATTGCTTGTGGCTATCACCCACCTTTTGTTCTTTCATGTGTTTACCACTTGGGGTATTTATTGAGGCCCTGTTATGACAGTAACAGAATACTTCCACTTAGTGGAGAACTTTTGTTATGACTTTATAACCAGGTCCTAAGGCAGATATCCAAGCTTCCATTTTTTTTTTTTTTTTAAGCAAGGAAACTGGCACCACATTGTCTTTTGCCTGGTATTATAGACCGGTTTTCCTGAAAGCAACACATTGCTCATTCACCGACTTTACTCTCCCTCATCCGTTTATAGGGCATTTCAGCTCTCGGGAAGGGTTTTTGGAGTCTCTTTGGAGATCATATTTCTGGACCCCTCATTTTCTTATGCATTATGCATTCCAGAGGCATAACACATTTCTATCCGCTGACTTATTTTTTTAACGCATTTTTTTTTTCCAAGACAGGGTTTCTCTGTGTAGCCTTGGATGTCCTGGACTCACTTTGTAGACCAGGCTGGCCTTGAACTCACAGAGATCTGCCTGCCTCTGCCTCCTAGAGTGCTGGGATTACACATCACATCTGGCTTTTTTTTTTTTTTTTTTTTTTTTTTTAAGACAGGGTCTTATGTAGTCCAGGTTGGTGCTGGCCTCTAACTTGCTATGTATAGCTAAGCATGACCTTGAAACAATCCTCCTGAATTTCTCAAATGTTGGGAGGATAGCATGCAGCATCATGGGCAGCTGTGCTGTCCATTTACTTGTTTATTTGTGTGTATGTATGCATATATCTTGTGTGACAAAACTTTACCTGGGGAGATGCAACATGTCAACTCACCTCAGATAGGGAACCCACAGCAGACGAAAGTACATATACCACCAAAGTCCAATTTGGTGAGCCAGTTAAGTTTTGTTGGGGTTTACAGGAGTATGGGTGAGGGGTTACTCATAGGAATAGAAACGACTGAATGACAGCTCAATCACCAAGGCCCACTCCAGCATTGGTAACAGCTCACAGAAACTGGGATACTGCACAGCCCGAAGCCAGCTCAACAGGTTAGAGAGTGCCCTTTCTAAGTGACCTAGTCCAGGAAGCTTGGCTGGTTTCTGCTTCTTGCAGCTCAGCTTGTCTGAAAATCTTCATAGCTGGGCTACTTTAACAGTCTTTTTTGCAGCTTAGTTCCACTTGGCTGAGAGGGACTCTCAACTTCTATTGCTGAGGGTGTTTCTGGCAGGTAGGGACCTAGTGAATTTGGTCAGTTTCAGGGACTTCCTGAAGCTGTTTTGAGTTGTTGACTTTCCTGTTTAAGGTGCTTCCTTACAGATGGAATGATTCAATCTGGGAGAAAAGTGTTCTATAACAGTGCAATGTGGCATGGGTTGTGTAGAGGCCAGAGGGCAATTTGTAGGAGTCACTTCTCTCCTACTTTGTGGATCCCAGAAATTGAACTCATATCATCAGGTACGGTAGCAAGTGCCTTAATCTGCTTAGTTGCCCTGCTAGCCCTCCACTGTCATTTTAAAGAGGCAATTGGACTTGGTGTCTTGATGATCTGGTGTCTGATGTCAATGCAGGATGGCCATGTCTTAGTCCCCATCCATGAAAAGTGGGAGAAGAGCCTTCAAGAAAGTAAACAGGTCTGTATTTGGGTCAAGAGAGAGAGTATGTCAAGTTGGTGTTTCTCTGTGATCCAGGAAGGTAGTGCACGGTCATAGTAAGCCTCTGAAAGCCATTTGTAAAGTTCATATCAGAACTGGTCAGGAAGTCCGGGCCTATAGGGACAGTCATATTCTGTGTATTGGTGTGAGGGGCTATCAAGACAGTGGGGTTACTATAACATTTCTTTTTGTGAGATGAGGCCATTGGGTTGGCATTTGGAGTTCTGCATCCACAAGTGGCTCTGTCCTGGGAGATGTATGGGTTTAGGTACAGGTATTTTGTGTGATTTTAGGTCCGGCAGACTTTCCCTTTAAAAGGTCCTGGTTCCTAGCTCACAGTCTTTATGCTTTTTTGTCCCTACCTTTTCCAGGTAGTGCCACCATGGGGACAACTGCCCCAGGGCCTATTCACCTACTGGATATATGTGACCAGAAACTCCTGGACTTTTTCTGCAATGTGGACAATAAGGACTTGACGTGGCTCACAGAGATTGTGGAGGAGGCTGAGCGCATGTTCATCAGGTAAAGGCAGGGGCCTGCTGGGGTTGTGGTGAGGGAGCTGGGGTGGGTGTCCTGATAGTTCAGACAAATAGCCTGTCAGAGTTCCTTCCTAAGTGTCTCATGTGCTGGGGCCAACCTCGTGCAGTGGGCAGAGGAAGAGGTGATTGAGCCCTTTTTCCTGGCTCACCGTAGTTAGCTGTGTCTCTGAGTGGGTGGCCTGTGATGACTTATCCTGGCACTTGCTTCTTTGGCACGTCCAGGAGGAAGCGCTCTAGTGTCCAGCTGGTGACCTTACACCGCTTTGGGGAACTTTTCTGGTGATGGTCTCTTTAGCTTGACTTGTCATTGCCAAGAATGGGGTGAAGTATAGTCTCCTGAGAGATGGGGCAGCCCAGCGGTTCCCAAGTTCACCCTTCTTGTACGTAACAGAGAGTTCAACAACGAGCCAGAGCTGATGCCCAAAACTCCTTCTCAGAAGAACCGTCGGAGGAAGAGACGGGTGTCTAACATTCAGGATGAAAACAGAGATCCCACGAGGAAAAGGTAGGAAAGGCTTGGGAGGCTGCACTGGAGGTGCTTTCTGGAGAGTTTGTGTCCTAGGAGAGTTTGCTCCTGAAGGTGCTGATAGCAGCAGCAGCTAGAAGGCAACAGTGGTTGGCACCTCACGCTGACGATGACAGTTAATCCAGCTCAGAGTACAGTTGTGACTTTCTGTGCGCTGGTGGAGAAGGTGGAGACAGGGAGTTGGGGTCTGGAGTTTGGAGGAGGGGAGAAGCACCAGAGGTGTGGCCCAGGTGCTGGTTCCCAACTGCTCTGTTGTTGGGTTTGTTATAATTCCTTATAGGAATGGTGTTGAGTGTCACACTCAGGTAAAGATGCTGGCTAGTCTAATCAGGCAGCCCTCGTACATATGTCATTTATGGTTTTGAGCCTCAGTAGCTGTATGTCCTTGGAATGAATTTCTTTCTGTTTTCTCATCTTCCAAAGGGGAATTGCAAAATGCAATGTTTTTTTCTATTCCTGCCCTGCTCTGAATAATGACACGGAGACCTTTATATTTATTAAAAGCTTTAGGTACTATGCTGGGCAGATACTCAGATACTTCTTACTTCTCGCCACATGGTCTGTTATCTGCCATCTTAGCCTCACTCTGGCAACCTGCTTCTTCATCTGTGTTCTATTGGTGATCTCTCTCTCTCTCTGATCTTCACTTGGGATGTCCTGCCCCCACCTCGCCCTGGGCCCGGAAGTCTGGCCTTAACTCTTCTGCCCAGCTATTGGCTGTTCAGCTCTTTATTTAACCTATCAGAAGGTGATGGAGAACAATGTTTATGACATACCAAGACAGGAGATGCTTCGTAATAATGACAAAACACAGGACACAAAAATATCCTCCAACAGAGAATAAGTGGTGTCCACCTCCCAGAGCCTCAGTCTCAGGGCAGATTGAGAGCAGGAGTGAAGTTTTCAGAAGGTGCTGAACACGGTGTAACCACGAGAAGTCTGTGTGAATTCAGTCTTCCCAGCTGTCCCATGAGTAACGGAACTCACTGTTATCCATGTACTGTGGGGAGACTGAGGCTCAGAGAGGAACAACCGGGCTCTCATGGCTAGTGGTGAGAGTCTGCTCTGGAACCTCAAGGTTTTACCTCCAGACCCTTTGCCCATAATTCATTGAGGTTGGTGGCTACCAGGGAGATTGCTATACTCTAATTTTATTTGAGGGTGTCCCTGCCTTTGGGTTGTCTCAGCCTCTTTTCTACTGCCCCAACAGGTTATCCCGCAGAAAGTCTCGGAGCAGCCAGCTAGGCACCCGGCACCTCCGAAGCAAGGACAAAGTGCAGAAGCCGGTGTCTGTTGTTGAGGAGAATGGCTTCCCAGTCTTGCAGCGGATAACTAGGGCGGCGGCAGCAGCCGCAGCAGCTGCAGCCTCTGCATCCGTGCCATCAGCTGCTTCCTCTCCCACTGCTGAGTCTCCCACAGTGCTAGTCAAGAAGTCTGTGGTGGAGGTCAGCGCCAGTGAGAGATTGAGTGCAGACCTGCAGCTCATCCAGCTCAAAGGTGGCCTTCCTCCATCTGCAGTCCCACCTCCAACTACACCTCCAGCTCCCCAAGGCACACTGACATCAGAGGAAGAACCAACACCCAAGAAGTCAGAGGCTGTCACAGTGAGCTCCCTCAAGGCTACTCCCCAGAGCCCCAAGAACCAAGGGGTTGGGGCAGGACGTTCTGTTTCTAAGCTCAAGATTGCTCGGGCCTCCCAGGGCCTGCAGGACTCTCCAGACTCCCCATGGCAGGAGCGAGTGCTTTCTCCTATCCAGCCGAATAACATCTTGCCCACCACAGCCAAGAGCCCTCTTGGGAATATTCGGTCAACGCGGCGAAGCCTGATGTCCCAGGATCCCCAAGTGCCACTAGCTACGAAGTACTGTTTGGTGGCTGAACAAGAAAGCACCAGTCGCAGGTCAAGCAGAAGGCTTGCCAAGAAGGCTGACAAAAAGCCGGAGGCTTCTGCTCGTATCATCTGTGAGTATGGGGCGAGTGTAGGATGATGGTGGTTCCTGGGAGCTAGGATGTTTCCATTGACCCACCAGTGAAATGTTCCTCATGTGTATCTCTGGGATGAAGTCACTGGTTAGTCATGACTGGCTATTGAAAATGTGTCTAGTCTGATGGAGAAGCTGATTTTCTTTTCCTCCCGGACAAGACAAGTTCTCCACTACTGAGCAGTATTCCCTAGTGCTTTGAGATAGTCTCATGCTATGTAGCTCAAGCCGTCTTTGGGCTCTGTCCTCCTGCCTCTGGCCCCAAGTTTTAGGATTACAATTGTGCACTGTCAGGAGCTATATTTTAATTTTTTTTTAATTTGTCTTTCTTCTTAATAGTATGTATGTGCACATGTACACACCTGCCATGGTGTTTGTATGCGTAAGTTGGGGGAACAACTTGTAGGAGTCTGTTTTCTCCTTCTACTGTGCGGGTCCTGAAGATTGAACTCAGGTTAACAGGTGCCTTTACCTGAGTCATCTCACTGGCCCTGAGTTTTAAGTTTCATGCACTTTCTTCAATTTAGATTTAAATGGCCACATGTAGCTACTGGGTGATAGAGATCTAGTTCAACACTGTTTTATTTGTTTGTTTGTTTTCTTTCTTTTTTCTAGACAGGGTTTCTGTGTGTTTGGCTGTCCTGGAACTCACTGTAGACCAGACAAACTCAGAGGTCCTCCTGCCTCTGCTTCCCAAGTGCTGGAATTTAAAGACATGCTCCACTACCGCTTGGCTCAAAATGGTTTTTAAAGAGTGGAAATAAACCTGGAAGGTTAGCTGCAGTGTTCCTGTGGTCCTTTTCCCAGAGTCAGTGTATCCCTCTGTCCGTTTTTGCTGTCTTGCAGTGATGGACTTAAACTTAGTATCCCTGTGTGTAACTCCTAATGGTAAGGCTGCTGTGGAGATATGCCACGGAGAGCTTGTGGGCTGGTATCTGCTGGCTGCTTTCATTTGGGTCAGATCTAAGCCTAGGAGCCCACTGTCCTGGTTGGAATAGATCTTAGGAGCTACAGAGGAGTGTGGGCAGCCCTGAGAGTCAGAGTTGGCTGCCTGAGGGGGTAGGGACTCATAGTGAGATTTTTGGAGGATGGCTGTGCTCAACGGCTGGTGGAGAAAATGTAGCCCTAGCTATCCTGGCCAAGGAAAGGATTGCACAAAGACTTGGAGACACCAAGCAGTAAGTGATGGGCTACCTGGAGCTTCTTGCCACTAAAGCAAGTATAGTCCAAATATGGCTGATAGAGTTCTTAAAGGCAGCAAAGATAAAGAAGGAGGCTGCTAGATCAGGTTCCTACAAGATTCAGGTCACAGGACAGGCCAAGTTTCATAGTAAATGAGAAGTAAAAATACCTGGCTCTTGTAAGACTTATGGAAGAAAATCTGTGTTCTTTTGGCTCTTCAGGGTCTATGCTTTTTAACAGAAGAGGAAACTGTAGACAAGCTGTATAGTTCAGAAACTGGGACTTGAGTTTACTTGCATTCCACCTTGGAAGGCAGGTGCTGAGGGGCTGTGAGGAGCCCAAGAGTTGGTTTTGTTGGGCAGGTGAAGACACTACACCTGGGAAGGTTCTTTCAGGCGGTGCTCTGTGCTGTGCAGCCTGGAGAGACAGCCTGGGCCTTGTGCAGCATGAGGTCAGGCACACTGTCCGTCTTAGATTGTCAGGAGGCCTGGGATGGCATGAAGTTGGTCTTGGGGAGGGGTCCTCAGGGCTGGATGAGCCTGGAGCTATAAGGGAGGGGTAGGAGGAAGTAGAGAGACTCATAGACCTGTTCTTGCTTTGGTGTTAGACATCAGACATGTAATTCTTTTTTTTCTTAGTCAGTTTTTACCCCCACAAAGACATTTTAAAATTTTTTGTAGTTCAAATATAATTATACCGTTTTCTCTTAATTTTTTTGTAGTTAAAATACAATTACACCATTTTCTACTTCCCCTTTCTGTCTCTAATCCCTTCCATGTACTTCCTCCCCTTTGTTCGGTGTCAAATTCATGGCTTCTTTCTTTCTTTCTTTCTTTCTTTCTTTCTTTCTTTCTTTCTTTCTTTCTTTCTTTCTTTCTTTCTTTTTTCTTTTTTTTTTCAAGACAGGGTTTTCCTGTGTAGCTCTGGCTATCCTGGACTCTCTTTATAGACCAGGCTGGCCTCGAACTCACAGCAATCTGTCTGCCTCTGCCTCCCAGAGTGCGCCACACTTGGCTTATGGCTTCTTTCTTTACACACACATGCATACTAATACATACACACATACACACATACAAATATATAAATACAACCTGCTCAGTCTGTGTGATGTTGTTGAAATGTACAAGATGTAAAAGGCGACCATTTGGTATTGGATAGCCAGTTATGATAGTGCCCTCTTTTGTGGGGACAACTATTTTCTCCCACTTTCAGCATTCCTTATTTGTCTATAGTTTTTTGTCTACCATTGTGGTCCAGTGAGCTTTCCTCCTTCCATATTGGCATGTCTCTTTATCATCCTTGTTCAGATCTTGTTTAGGCAGCTATGTTGTTAAGACTTCATGGGTCTTTGTAGCTTCCTTGATGTTTCTAGGAGATGCAGTCTCATAGAATTTCCTGTTCTCTGGCTCCTTCAGTGTTCCTTCTCCCAGTGTTCTGAGCCTTGGATGCAGGAGTTGTATTGTAGATATGTCAGTTGCGGCTGGATTCTACATGAGATCACTTGTTCTTTGCATTTTGATCTGTTATGGTTTTCTGTAATGGCTTCCATCTGTTGCAAAGAGAAGTTTATTTGATGGTGGTTGAGAGATACACTTGTGTGTGAGTATAAGAAGAAATACTTAGATTTTAGTTATTGCTCAGTAAAGTGGCTATTGTAGGTTCTCCTCCAAGATCCTCCATGACCTCACTAGCCCTAGGTAGTTGGCTAGGTTTCTAGTGCCAGGCACGATTTCCCTCTTGTTGAGTGGGCCTTAAGTTCAGTTAGAGAACTGTTGGTTACCTTCAGGATATGGGTGCTACAATGGTCATTGTTACATAGTTCATAGGTTTCATAGCTAAGTAGGATTGGTTGCTTACTTCTTGAAAACATGCATGGCACTTTCTGGTACTATGAAAGCTAGTCCTTAGAGAATAGGCTTTCAGGTTAGATCCAATTCAGTGTTTGAAGTGCATGATGTCTTCAGCAGTAGAGGCTTAACCTTTAATCTCTGGGATGTAACCAAGGACAATAACAATAGCAGTCTTTTGCACAATGTTTACCAACAGCTCGAAAGGGGGCTTCTTATGCCTGGTATTGAGGTCTTTGTTAGATGTTCTATGGCTTTTGCAGGGAGTCTGTCAGCTCAGGGGAAAAATTTTATTTAAACTATGCATATGCGTGTATACAGATTTATATGTATTATATCTAACTTAGGTAAATAATAATAGGATTTTAATGACTTTATATGACTTTCCCCAACTTCCCCTTCTTTATATTAATCTCACTCTTCCTTCCCTAATTTTTTTAAATTCAGGGTTTCTTTGTGTAGCCCTGACTGTCCTGGAATTCACTGTATCAGATTGGCCTTGAACTCAGAGGTCCTCCTCCCGAGTGCTGGGATTAAAGGTGTGTGCCACCAAGCCCAGCTCCTTCTCTAAAGTAAAGCCCTCCACCTGTTTTTCCCATCTTCCTGTTCAAACCATGTTTACCCAGCTTTTCTCTTTTGTACCTCCTCCCTCCCTCCCTCCCTCCCAATCCCTTTTTACCTTCCTGGTTTTTGTAGTTACTCATTTTGTATATACTCACATCTGGAGATTTAGAGATAATCACAGATAAGAGAACGTGAGATGTTTGTTTTTCTGGGTCTGGGTTATCTCACTCAATATTTTTTCTAGTTCCATCCGCTAACCTGCAGATTTTATGATTTCAGTTTTTACAGTGGAATATTCTTCTATTTTATACACACACACACACACACACACACACACACACACACACACACACACATATACACACTACGTATCATTCCACCAATTTTTATAGACATTGTTGTAATTAGTGGCTTGTCACTTAGATAAATTGGTGATAGGATACAATCCAAAACTTCTAGCAGTGTGGTTCCAAAGGTACTACCATCCTTATGGGTGACTTTCATCTATTGAATCAAGGCATATTAACACTCCAGCTTATTGTCAGCATTCTAACCAGAAATTGGTATAAATGCTACTGTGTCAGGGTTGTAGCCAATTTTCTTAATGGATGTACTGACTTTCTTAATTTCCTAATATCTCTTCCGAATGTAGGGTACCTTTATGGAATCCATTTTCTTGGCACCAACACTTAGCTGTTCCACATCCACTGTGTAAAAGGCCGTGCTCACAGGCCTGCCCATTCATGGAGATTCACACTGACAGCAACCCCCAGGACAGTACAATCATCCTGAGAAGGGGCTGCACTGATGGTTCTGATAAAGCCCTCTGTCCTGGGTCTTCAGTGACAGTCTCATAATATGTTCTGGTCTCAACTTTCCACCGGAAGATATCAGTAGTGATATCATGCTCATACTCAATTTTTGTTTCTGGAATACCCAGGCATATTTGAAAGAGCTATTTCCTAACTCAGCAGCCTCCTTTTCAAAATTTTCAGTGGTTTGTCAATTCCACAACATTTGTAGATGGCCAGTAGTGGTGGAATTGCCCGAATCCACAAGTGCAATGGTGACAATGTTGATGTCTTTTTCCCCCCAATTTTCCTTCAAATTAGAAGTAGGGTGGTGGGGTTTTTGTTTTTTGTTTTTTTTTTTGAGACAGGGTTTTTTTGTGTAGCCCTGCTGTCCTGGAGTTCACTTTGTAGATCAGGCTGGCTTTGAACTCACAGAGATACACCTGCCTCTGCTTCCTGAGTGCTGGGATCAAAGGCGTGTGCCACCAGTGCCTGGCAATGGTAGTTTTCGTAACAGCTAACCTGTAGCTCTTAAGCAGCGTTTCTCACCCTCCCCCGCAGCCTTCCCTGCTCATGGATAGGCTTATGGGTTGTATGTGAGCAGGTCTGTCTTAATGCCAAGCCCAGCGACCATCTCCTTCTTGAGGCAAAGGAAGGTGGCAAGGAGGGGCAGGGACCAGAATGTGGAGTCACTGAATCCAGTGACTTGGGTATACCCCTTAACTTCATTTTCCTTTTCTGAATGGTAACGACATTTGCCTTGAATATAGTTAGAGACTCATTTAGTGTTTGGGCATGGTACCTGTTCAGTAACTCATTTAGACAAGGCAATCCTGGCCTGTGTTTCTAAAATTCACAGGAGAGAAATGAATGGCAAGGCAGAGGCTTCCTGGCGTATTTCTGCTGCCAGGCTCTGAGGTGGGCTGGGGGGTAGCTCAGGTGGAATGTCAGTTTGAGTTCTCTGTAAGGCAGCTTTTGACACACCTGCAGCAGGGGAGTGGGTAGGGCATGAGACTGGCAGTAAAGGCTATTTCCAGAGCCTCTGGAATCTTTTTAGCGTTTAGCGATGGAGCATTGAGGACCTGAAGCCTCTTGTCCTGGTCTGGTGTGTACTCTCCAAGAAGGCTTTCTGTCACTGTGGTCAGGTAGGACCAGGGTCACTGCTGCAGGGTTTCTAGAAAGTCCAGGTAAATAGATCAGCTTCATCATTCAGGCTTTATACTGCTTTTTTTTTTTTTTTAAGTTGGAGGTTGGCCTCTTCTCAGTCCTCAGCCAGGCCACTTTCTGGGGCCTGTTCTGGCACGCAGGGATGCTTAACATTCCAGGAAGCCTTTGTGCTGATGGAACACTTACATGTTCACTTGGGTGTCTTTTTACCTCTCCCCTCCCCCAGTCAAGGAGCTTGGAGAGAGAGGGGCCAAGAAAAGAGGAGGGGATCATATCTTCTGTCCATACACCCCTCAAGGTAGCACCTGTAACTGCCAGTCTAATTTTACTGCTGTTCCCTTCTAGCCCCCAGCCTGGATCCCATAACCCAGAAAGGAGAAATCCCTTTTCTTGGTACTGCTTAGTTCTCTCTGAGCGCTGCCCATTTGCTGTTCCAGTTTGTTACCTATTCCCTGTTTTCCCTAAGCCTTGGGTATCACCTACATTCCTTGTCTGCCTTAGCTATGGTCTTACTCCCCTGACCCAGGATCTGGCCTTTTTCTAGCACCCCCAAGGCCTTTTTTCAAAACCTTATAGTCTTGGTGAGTATTTTTTCTCAGATCATTGACACCATCTCTCTCTGGTCCAGTTTGGCGGAATTTACTATGAAGCTCAGGCTGACTTTGAACTGTGGCGATCCCTATGTCCTAGCATCCTGAGTGCTGTGGTTTAAGGTGTGAACCAATGTGCCTATAATTAATACTTCTTCAAGGATATTCATTATTGAAACTGGGCATTGCTTTACTGTGTCTGGTAGTGTTTGGTGGGAAGCTTTGATGGGTGCTAAGCTTCAGCATTTTTTCCTTGGCTCTGTTGCTTTTGTGCTATTTGGGCTAATGTTAATATAATGGGAAGGAAAAGTCACAGTTTATAGTATAGTGGTTGAAAATAGTTCAGACCTGTGGATTGCCCAAAAAGGTCTCAAGTATTTCCAGAGGTTGGAGAATACACTTTGAAAACTACTGTCCTGGAATCTTCTTCCTCCTCCTCCCCTTTGATCTTTTCTTTTTCTTTCTGTCTCTTTTTTCTTTCTCTCTTTTTTGTTTGTTTGTTTTCGATACAGGGTTTCTCTGTGCAGCTCTGGCTCTGGCTATCCTGGAGCTCACTCTTGACCATGCTGGTCTCGAACTCAGAGGTTCATTCTGCCTGTGCCTCCTGAGCACTGGGATTAAAGGCATGTGCTGCTGCCGCCTCCCATTTCCCCTTTGGTCATTTCATCATCATCATCATATCAGGTTTTTCCATGAAGGCTTTAGCATCCCTGACTTGGTCGTTTCACATATCCTAGTTTACTGTATAAGATCATTTGGTGCTCAGAGGTAGGAAGGCCAGACAGTGGCTTGTTATTTTTCCTTACCATTGAGGCTCTAGCATCTGTCGCAGAGCCCAGTACTTGATGAATGTTTCTTGAGTGAATAAGCTACTTATGTTTGGGCCCAGTGTTATGTCAGACCTCTCTTTCCAAAATACTACTAGCCTAGTGAAGAGGTGGGGTTGTGCCTGCTAGGCAAGCTATGTAACGGTTGTGAGGATGAATGAGGTGAGGTCTAGGGCACAGTGAGGACTGTGTGTCTATGAAGGAAACAGTGATCATGTCCCTACCAAAACTTCCTGGACCTCTGGCTTGAGTCCTGATTGGTTTCCAATAGCATCTTTTTTTTCCCCCTCAGGTCACAGTTATCTGGAGAGGCTCCTGAATGTTGAAGTGCCTCAGAAAGTTGGGTAAGTTCTGTACCAATGCCTCCCAAAGGGAAGGTCAGGGCACATAGTGAGAGGAGGTGGAGGTGACCATCAGGTGGAAAGAAGCTTCTACTGAGGCTAAGCCTTCCCTCCTCATCCCATCTTTCCATGGCACTGCTGATAGCTGTGCTCTTTGTGTAACCAGGCATCAAACAACATGACTATCATTTCTCCAGGCCGCATTCCATCAGGGTCACTTGTCAGCTTTGCCATGGTTGTAAATAAGGCAACCATTTAGACTGAGGTGTGGTGGAGTAGGTTAGTCTTGGGGCCCCCTGGGGTGCTTTCTGCCCCCAGATTAGATGTAGCATTGCTGGGGCCAGGACGCTGATTCCTCAGAGATCATGCTGTACTGCCTAACTCTGGGGCAGAGGTTGATTCCTGGGATGAGGAAATGGGTCTGGGCATACCTTCGGCTTAGCTGGTCCCTGGGTGAGTAGTGAGCAGGTCTCAAAAGAGAGGGGACTTCACTGGGCTCCGTAGATTGGGACAGAGCTGTGTAAAGTATTTGTCTGCTCAGCGTCATTGGAACAATTCTTAAGATACTCAGCTCACAAAGAAAAATGCTTTATCTTAGCTCACAGCTCTAGAGCTGTGACCAGTCGGCTCTGCTGCTCTGGGAAGCAGTACATCATGGTAGAACAAAGCTATTTACCTTGTGGCTTGGACTTGAAAAGGGAAAGGGAGGTAAGGGCCCATAATCGCCCCTATGGCCACACCCTTAAGCTGAAACCCTCCAGTTAGGCCCCACCTGTCCAATTTTCCACTGCCTCCTAGTAGCACTAATTCTGGGAACAAAGCCTTTAATATGTAGGTCTTTGAGGACAGTGAAGATCCATACTAGAGCAGGTTCTCATCCCAAATGAGATCTCTAACAGGATATCTAATAAAGTTCAGTTACTGACATCACTTTCTACTCAGGAAGACACCAGTGATGGCTGCTCTTCCTATCCAGTGTAGGTTGTTGGTTTGTGGTCCAGGTTTGGTCACCTGATGTTGGACCTAACTTGAGGACTTGAAGAAAGCTTGGACTTAGAGTTCTCACAGTGCCCTGCTTTGCTTTCAGCCTGGAGCAGGAGCCCACAGAGGAGGCTGTGCCTGAGGAGGCAGCGGAGGAGCCAGAGGTAAGGCCCAGGCCAGAGATGGGTCGGACTTGAGGCTCTAGGTCTGAAGCTGTGTACCTTGGCTATTCTGAGCCTCAGGATCCATATGGGCTTCTTCAAGCTTCGGTTCTTCCTGTAGGTCTCCAAGAACAGTGGGTGTGCCTCGAAGCCTCACAGTGCCACCAAGACAGAAATCAGTACACCTGCTTCGAAGCTCGTGCCTGCTGGCCAGGCAACAGCTGTTGAAGAGCAGCAAGGTGAGTTGGGCTGGTCTTGTCTCTTGGGATGTGGAGCCCCATTTTCTGGTCCGATAGGCCAAAAATAAGTTAAACCTAAAGAGGCCATGTTCTTCTGGCTGGAGCTGCTGCTGAGTGTCACCTAAGTAACTACCTGGTTGGATTAAGAAGCAGAGGGAAGGGCCTTGTCTTAGTTTGGGTTTCATTTCTGTGAAGAGACACAGTGACCATGGCAACTCTTATAAAGAAAAGCATTTATTTGGGGCTGGTTTACAGTTTCAGGGGTTTAATTTAAAATCATCATGGCAGGAAGCATGGTAGTATCCAGGCAGACATAGTTCTGGAGAAGGAGCCGAGAGTCCTGCATCTTGATCCCTAGGCAGTAAGAGGGGAACGTGTACCACACTGGGCACAGCTTAAGCATAGGAGACCTCCAAGCCCACCCCTACGTGACACACCTACTCCAACAAGGCCACACCTCCTAATAGTTCCTCTCCCTATGGCCAAGCATTCAAACATGTGAGTCTATGGGGGCCGTTCCTACCAAACCACCCCAGCCTGAAGGAGGTAGAGGTATGAAGGTGCCATGTCAAGGTCCTCAGGCCCATTCCAGTGGATTCATGAAGAATGACAGGCTGGGGTCTGAATGCCTATCTGGCCTCTTCCTCCTGGCTTGTTTCTGACTTCTCTAGTTCAAAAAGGGTAGGACTGCTATGAGCTTACGGAGTTGGTCAGGAGCCATGCGTGGCTTCCCAGGCGACTAGTAGGCTCTTGGAGTCTCGCTTATGTCTCTCTGTGGAGGGTGATTTCCCTGGTGTCAAGAAATGGCACTGTGAGGTTTCGAGTAAAGCATCCTCTTTATGAAGGGATTAGGATAGTTGCTGTGCCAGCTTGAAAGGCCCCAGGATTGCTACAGAGATCCTTTGGAGTAAAGGGTGCTTCCTCTTGGTGTGAAATAAAATGTACTGTGCTCTGTATGATGACCCCACGAAAGAAAATCTACTTCTCCTTAAATCCGTACAGACTTTCTATGCCTGCCCCAGCTCCGAATAATGACACAGAGACTTATATTTATTTAGGCCTTAGCTACTCTTGTTTTCAACTAGCTCTTAACTTAAATTGTTTCCTTTACATTAATCTGTGTTCTGCCATGTGGCTCATTACTTCTTATATCTGACTTTCTCCGTTTCTGCACATGACTTTTCATGGGAGAGCAAATGACATATAGATTAAGGCTTCAGTGATACTGTCTTGCTATTGGTGTCACAGTTGCCAAGTATTAGGGCTGAAGGATCTGACTTAGGGGCCAGTATCCTGGGTTCAAGGTCAGTTACTGCTAAGGTTGGTGTTTCTGCCATTGGCCACCCTGAGGTTGCCAGGAGGATGCTTACTCTTGATATAGCTGTTGCTGCTGGACCCCTTCCCTAAAACCAGCATGTATACCCCACTGCCATCATTTATACAACCTCAATGAAATTGTTCTCTTCACAGAATCCGAGCTTGACCAAATAGATGGACACAGAGAACCACCCCAGAGTGTCAGGTTTGCATTGGGGAAGGGGTGTGCAGGCAGCTCTTGTCCAAGGATCTCAGAGGGATGAACCAAGCTGGGTCCTTGCATAGAGAGACAGTGTAGGTGTTTGACCAAGCACTGTATGTCGTGGCTGGTGTCATGGCTTGATTCTCTGACTTAACAGAAGAAGCAGCTTGAATCTATAGTTGCTGGCTTGGGAATAGGTGATCATGTCCTTTGTGTCCTTCTCGCTCTGTGACCTTTGACTGTCCACCTACCATTTTCGGTGTGGGCAGCAAAGGGCTGGTCTATAGTTTCTTCTGTCCAGAGTTCTTCTGTGGAACTTGAGCCCAGAATATTTTTTGCAAGGATGATCTTTTTTGGGATGTCGTAGAGCTATGAGGTGGGTTCTCAGGTTTTCTTTATGACGTGGCCATCTGTTCTGGTCAGGAGGAAACGCAGTTACAAGCAGGCAATGAGTGAACCAGATGAGGAACAACTGGAAGATGAGGAGCTACAGCCCCCCCAGAACAAGACCCCTTCACCACCCTGTCCAGCCAACAAGGTGAGCAGGTTCTTGCCCTTGCTTGGTGTCTGCCCTGCCTGCTCCATCCTGACCCTGGCCCTGGTCTGCAGGTGGTACGGCCTCTCCGGACTTTCTTGCACACTGTGCAGAAGAACCAGATGCTCATGACCCCGACTTTGGCTTCCCGCAGCAGTGTCATGAAGTCCTTTATTAAACGCAACACTCCACTCCGAGTGGACCCTAAGGTAAGGGAGCCTGTCCCCTGGCTGTGCTTTGTTGGAACTGGGTCAGTGTGGTTGAAAGCTCTCTTAGTCTGCTGAAAGTAGTGTGGGCGTGGGCATGTGGAAGCCTGGCACTGATCACAGCCCAGTTAAAGCCTTTGTGGCTGGGTTGTCTCAATACTGTGGTACTGCTCAGACTTTATGGACCCTGGACTGTGACTCAGAAGCTCAGCTGCTTGGTGAGCCCTAGGCTGGACAGTGGAGGACTGGCTTAGTACACCTAACACTGGCCACCATGGCCACAGACTAGTGGTGGGTGCGGCTTGGGAAGAGCAGGTGAAGAAACCTTTACTATTGGGAAGGAGGACTGGGTGAGGTGATACTGTGTGTTGTTGGTGAAAGGCCCTGATTAGACCCACTGCCACAGACAGGTGCAGGGCCTGCCCTGTAGGACATCCCTTGGCATTAACTCTTGGTGTTTTTCTGTTTCTTCTTCACAGTGCAGCTTTGTTGTAAGTAAAGCCTTTTCCTGTCCCTTAACAGAGCTGTACCTAGTTCTTAACCAAATTCGTGTCACTGTGTAGCTTATAGCTCCCGTAGGAGCACTAACATTGCAAGTGGGAGTGTTAGGAAGGCAGATGTGCACGTGGGGGCACTGGCGTCACCGGGGGAGCTGGTGGGATCCAACAGTTGTGGAGCTCGCGTTCTCCCACTGTGGAGATTGCCCTCTGCCCTTACCCTGTCACGGCGAGGACACAGGCGGCTGTGACCTGCAGTGTTTGTCCAGGCCTCAGCTAGAAGTGCTTCCCACAGCCATCTACTTCCTTATCCCCAGCACTGGGGCCTGAGTGTGTGTGAAGAGAACAGAGTTGTCTCTGGTCCACAGAGCTACTGAGATTTACTGGGTCATTAGACCTGAGTAGTAGCCTTGATGGGGTGTGGGGTGGGGCTGGACTGGTAACTCTACAACGAGGCTGGGCCCAGCAACGCAGCTTACAATGTAGCTGTTGGCAGTGGCACCTGAAAACAAGACCAAAGGAGCGTTCTCTTCCCAGACATGTCAGAGCTGAGCTGAGCTGGGCTGGGTCACCTACTGTGAACAAGAGCTTTGGAGAAGTGGGACCTGGGGCAGACTGCAGTCGTATTCTCTGGATCTGGTGGTTGCTGTCTAGACCAGTTATATCTTAGATTCTTGGCATCTGTTTAAAGGTTGCAGGTGACCCCACATACAAATAATGTGGATTTTCCTTTAAAATTGTTTTATTTGTGTGTGTGTTGTCTATGTGTGTCTTTGTGTTTGTGTACATGTTCCCGCAATCACATGCTGTGGAGCATATTTGGAAGAACGCTCAATTTTTTTGGAGTTCACTATGTGGAGTCTGAGGATCAAACTAAGGTTGTCAGTCTTAGTGGTAGGTGTTTATGCTTGCTGAGCCTAGGGGCAGGGTCTAGATGATTTTCTGTTCTGATAAACTTTGATTGACAGTTGGAAACTTTGACCTGTGCAGATGTGGGTTGTACACATCCCATAATTTTAATAATATGTAAGCCCAGTCATCAATGAGACTTTTTTTTTTCCCCCTAAAAGTTCATGCTGAGCCTTTTTTAAAAAGCACCATAACACACAGGTTCCTCTATTGTGCATTTCACTACAAACTCCAAACAGAAAATTGCTAGGGAGGCAGAGGGCACTGTTTTCTCAGGAGAGGGTTGTGTGTGGCTTTAGCCAGAGCAGCTGCTCAGTACTTTTTTGGGAAAGGGGTGCTGTGTTGCTCAAGTCATGTAGATGTTCTGGGTGGCCAAGCTCTGTACACCTGCCTGCCTCATACCTCAGTGCAGCCCCTTGTTCTTACAGTTCCCAGGAAGAGTTGTGAAGATACCTGCAGGGCTTTTGCCTTCCGCTCTTCACCTCTGGCAAATGGGAGGGGCTCAGTAGCTGGCTGGCTGGGTCCTGAGCTTGTTTGCCCTCTTTGGTTGGTAAGGTGACCAGCATGTCTCCCAGTATACTAGGTAGCCAGCTCTGTGACTTCATGGGCTTATTTTTGTGCCTGGCAGTGAAGAAGGCTGGATTTGTTCCTTCTTCAGTTGTCCATTCACTTCCTCCCCTTCTCCATATTGACTAGGGTCCTGTAGGTATCATGGGCATTTTGCCAGGAGGCACCAAAAGTTGCCCTTTCCTGCTTTTGGGAACTCAAGTCCCTGCACAGGGCATCTGGTGGGTATAGCTGGGATACAAGAGCCTAGGAAGGTTGAAAGGTTCTGGTCTTTGGACATATTTCCTTTTTCATACCTGCATTTTCTCAGCTACAAAATGGAGAAGGCAGTGAGTACTTCAGGAGTTTTGGTGACTTGGAGAGTGAGTGCACACACTAAAGTGAAGGGCTTGGTATAAAGTAGTTTTTGGATGCAGGGCAGGGAGAGTGCTCAGATGAGGCCCCCAGGCAGAAGGGGCTACTCCAGCTTGTAGTTTCCTCCCATTTTGCATGGGCCTTGAGTGTGGCTCTGGGGATATGGATGTCCAAAGCTCATCTGAAGTCTAGGCCAGAGGAGAAGTGAATTCTGTAGCATAGAAGAAGCTTCTGAAAGCACTGAGTTACACACAATGCAGTAGAGCAAATGCTGTGCCTAGTGTGAGAAATTTTAACACTCAAGCTTAAAGGTGAAAAGCTGTATCTCTACCTGTTAAAAGCAAGAGTTTGATTGGCTATAGAAAGAAGAAGAGGTGATGAACACTGGGTGCTACCTAGCCTTTGCTTCTGAAGTGCTTTTTTTGCAAGGAAAGCACATATGTACTGTAGGGTAAGAGAGAAAGTTGGGTGTTGGGCAGTGTGTGTGTGTGTGTGTGTGTGTGTGTGTGTGTGTGTGTGTGTATGTGTGTGTGTGTTAAGACAGGGTTTCGAGTCTTGCCTCTGTCTTCCAAATCCTGGGATTACAGGTGTGAGCCATTGTGTCTTTTTCCCATTTTTTTCTTCTGAGTCTGGGTAGTTGGAGAACCAGGGACTTACCTAAGGTCACCCATTCCTTCTATGTGGATTTCCCAAAGACCAGTGTTTTTCAGGCCCTTCTAGACCCAGCTTGGCTTTGATAGTACCTGCTGTCCCTTTTTTTTTTTCCATTTCTTTCTCTTAAATGCTTTTTGTTTAAATAAAAAATTACACAGCATGGTGAAATTCGGGAAGATACGTCTTTAGAATTTTAGCATGACTTCTGTAGCCATTACCACAGTTGGGTTATAGAACATGTCCTTATCCATTACCCACAGGAAGCTCTTTGCTACCCCTTCATGCCTGTACGGTCCTCACCTTAGCAGCCACGGACTTGTTCTTAGTAACCAGTACTGTTACGGAGGATGTCATGTGAATTATGTTGCCTTATATGCTACCTTTGGTGGTTAGCCACTGTCCTTCTAGCTACAGTCTTTGAGCCTATCAAAATTGTTTCATTTGAAGTCAGTTTCTTGTAAATAGCACATAATTGGATTTTTAACATTTCTGCAATGTCTTCTATTTCATACATACACACACATATAATTTTTTGTTTTACATGTATGGGTGTTTTATTTGCATGTATGTCCGAGTACCATGTACTACTTGCAGGCTTGGTACACCGGGAGTCCAGAATGGGCATCATTTCCCCAAGAACTGGAGTTACAGATGGTTGTGAGCCATTATGTGGGTGCTGGAAAGCACTAGTTTAATCCTTGGCCAGGGAAAGTTTAGAGTCCCTCTGCACCCTTGCTGTGGAGCCTTCTGGGTCTGCCTGGGAAGTGATGCCAGCACTGATCTACTGTAGGAATAGCTATCTCTTTTTTTTTTAATTAAAAAAATTTTTATATTAGTTTATTTACTTTACATCACATGGGTGCCCCATCTCTTCCCTCCTCCCAGTTTCCCCCCTAGTTCCCCTCCTAACCCCTTCCTCTCTCCTTTCCAAAAGGGGATCCCTCCGTCTCCCCATATTAACCTTCCTCAGATCAGGACTGTACATATCTTCATCTCCTGAGGCCAGGCAAGACAGCCCTGCCAGGTGGAAGTGATCTAAAAGCAGGCAATAGAGTCCATGTTAGAAACAGTGCCCCCCCTCCCCCCCCACCAGGCACTCCATATGAAGACCAAGCTGCCCGTCAGCCACATGTTTGCAGGGAGCCTACGTCCAGATCATGCACGCTCCTTACTTGATGTCTCAGTCTCTGAAAGACCCCATTTGACTGGGTTAGTTGTCTCTATTCTTATGAGGTTCCTGTCCCCTCCAGATCCTTCCATCTTTTCCCCAGGTCCTCCAGAGTTCTGCCCTATGGTTGGCTGCAAGTCCCAGCATCTGTCTAGATCTGCTGCTGGCTGGAGACAGGATGACTGGTTGACTGTCCAGGATGACAGTCAAGTTAGGCTCTTCTCTGCAAGCATAGCGGAGTATCATTAATAGTGTCAGGAGATGGCTCTCTACCGTGGAGTGGTTCTCAGGTTGGGCCAATTATTGTTTGAACTTTCCCTCTATCTTTGTTCCCTCGTTATCCCTATACTTTTTGGTTCATAGGTTTTTTCCAGTAGGTTATCGATCATCTCCTTCACTACTCCTGCCTGAATAAGAGGTGGTCACTTCAGTCTTCATGTGTGTGCCCCCCCCCCCACCGGCTTAGGAGTCTCAGCTAGAGTCACACCCATATCCTCCTAGGCGCCTATCCTTTAGCAGACCTCCAGCTTGACCAAGAGATTTCCCTCCCCAGTTTCCCTTCTCACCTCCCACCCCCATTCTACCCATATCTCATCTTCTCCCCATTCCAACTTCTTTCTCTTCCCATTCCAACTCCTGCCCAGTTCCCTCTCTTCATCCACTTCTGCTGTCTTTTAAGTGGATATTAGACCTTTAGTACAACTAGTTATCTCCTAATGCTGTCTTAAAAATTATTAACACAGGCATATCACAAGAAATTTGGAAAGCAAAGGGCAAGACATACCATCCTTGATCTAGCTCACTAGCCTGTATAACTGTGTTGACATTTGGTGGTTCTTTATTGATGTGTGTAAAAGAGTGGTGCATATACACAGTCCTAGTATGTGTTGGGAGTCATAGTAGTGATTAATGGCATCTCCTTCATCTTCCCAACAGAACATTAGCTGACACTTTCTAAGCTGCTTGCCTTTCTCTTTGCAATCTGAGTGTTTAGTTTCTTCACAAGCTGCTTATATAATTATAATCAACACACGTCTAATTTGAGGCTGCTTTTGTGTTGTCTACAAGTTGGGTTCATGGGAGGCACCCTGTCCACCTGAAGGAGAAACTGAATGCCTGTGCTTGCCTAGCGTGGGCACAGGGTACTCTGGGATATCTCTGCCTGTGAGGCATCTGCTGCTGCATCTGGTTGAGAATTGATGCACGCTGCCAGGCAACCTTTGGGGTTGGCATTTGTCCTCATTCACATACCAGTGCCCCCTGCCCACTTCAGGAGAAGGAACGCCAGCGCCTAGAGAGCCTGCGGCGGAAGGAGGAGGCCGAGCAGCTGCGCAGACAGAAGGTGGAGGAAGACAAGCGGCGGCGACTGGAGGAGGTGAAGCTGTAAGTGTCCCAGCTCCCAGCCCAGCCTGCCTCACCTGGGGCAGGCTCTCTTTGACTGCACTGTGCCACAGGAAGCGTGAAGAGCGCCTCCGCAAGGTGCTGCAGGCCCGTGAGCGGGTAGAGCAGATGAAGGAGGAAAAGAAGAAGCAGATTGAGCAGAAGTTTGCTCACATTGATGAGAAGACAGAAAAGGTGAGTCTGCCCTGATGGGTGGAGCCCTGGGGAGTCCCAGGCACTTTAAGGCTTGGCAGCCTGAAGGTTGGGACTAGACTTCTCCACAAGTCATCGACTTAGTGGCCTGTATAGCCCTGCTTTCTGTCGCATGGGCTCTGGAGTCTCCTCTGAGGCAAGTTGGATGCTACAAGTCTGGCCTAAGTTGTCCCAGCAGCCCTTTGTGAGTGGGCAGTCCTGAGGCGGTATGACTTCTTGTGGGCAGGAAGAAGGGTTTGTAGGGGAGTGAGTGTGCCTGCCTGTCACAGAGCTCTGGGCCCCACTCTGCATGCTCTGTGAGGGGCTGTTCCAGAGGGCACATGTAAGTGGATTCTGCAGGCTAAGGAGGAACGGCTGGCAGAGAAGGCCAAGAAGAAAGCAGCTGCCAAGAAGATGGAAGAAGTAGAGGCACGCAGGAAGCAGGAGGAGGAGGCGCGCAGACTCAGGCGGCTCCAACAGGTGCGATTAGGTGGGGACAGGGAAGAAGTTGGGTAGGACAACCACTGCCTCCATGCCATGAGGACTGGCTGGCCACGTCCATTTTGTAGAGTAGATCCTACTGGATCTTGTTGCTGACTTGAGTGTTGGGCTGTGGTGACTTTTTCTAGAAGCCAACGTGTGAGGATTAAATGTACATCTGGAGTCCGACTTCACCTCACACCTGCTATTTCTTAGCTGTGTGACCTTGGTCAGGTTACTCAAGTAGCGGAGTGATTTTGCTGATAGGGTTGTAGGTGAGAGCAAGATTCACCAATGAGTGTGAAGAATGCCGTGACTGGGGTGTGCTGAGTGTCCTGCAGGTGCCTTGTACTTACCTTCCACTCTTGAGCCTTAATGCTTAGAAGAGTTGGACCCTGTCTCTCCCTGGGAACTGGCAGTCTTCCTACTGTAGGGAACAAATGTCTGTCATTGGGGAATTGTAGTACTAATCAGTATGGTTTATTTATGCTGTGATAGACTCTCCTTAAGTGTTAATGTGTGTTAACTCAGCAGCTCCATAAGGTGCGGGTGCCACTGTCATCCCTGTTTTATATATTGGAAACTGACCATTGGGTCAGCTGGCTTGTCCTTTGCACATCCTGCTCTTCAGTCTTCACTCTTGCTTGTTAGAACTGCTGCAGCAGTTGCCACATGCCTTTTCTGTCTGCTGATGACTTGCAAAACTTGATTTGTCAAGAAGTCTGGTGGCTCAGTCCTAGTGGATGTCATTCATGGTGGTGGCCAGTGCCTTAGGAGCCCGTGCTGTGGGCAGCAGTCCTTGGCCAGCTTCTCCATGTGGGCCCAAGCCTAGCTTGAGTGTCCTGAACTTCCTTGCCTTGCCAACCCAGGAGGAAGAGGAGCGACGACATCAAGAGATGCTGCAGCGGAAGAAGGAAGAGGAGCAGGCACGGCGCAAAGCAGCTGAGGCCAAGCGGCTGGCAGAGCAGCAGGAGCAGGAGCGGCAGCTGGCTGAGCAAGAGCGTCGGAGGGAGCAGGAACGGAGGGAACAGGAACGAAAGAGGGAGCAGGAGTATCTTCAGGCCAAGAGGTGAGGCCATCCACTGACCATTTACTACTGTCCTGTGTCGGGAGCTAGAGGCGGCATGACCGTTGCTTCTTGGCGGTTCTCACCTTTTACTTGAAGGCTGGCAGGCTTTCCCTTGGCTTTAAACCAGACGCCTACAGCTGATGGACCACCAAATAGGGTTTATGTTAGCTGTGGGAGATTCAAGGGTAAAAGCTGGGGGTCACTCCATGTTTTGTACTACTCCAGCCAAATGTGCTAACTCCTGTGGTGGCTTTTTCTTAGTGGATAAAGCAGGGTGGAAGAATCTTAGGACAGACTTGTACTTCTCCATGGGGCCGCCATAGGTATCCTGGGCAGGAGGGATATTTGTAGTGCAGTATAGGACATCAAGCAGTTTTAGCTCTGGCTCCTGTGCTGCCCTTGGTGGTGATGATAGCCCAGTGACGTTTTCCCCTCATTAACATCGATTGGGACTGTGCCCACATGTGTGTGCAGACCCACTGGACCAACTGTAGTTTCCTTTCCTGCCCAACTCCTGAGGAACTCTGTCTTTGTGATAGGTACAGGCTTGATGGAGAAGTGAGGACTTCAGCTAGAAGGCTGGCTCTCAGGCCAGTATAGGGTGCGTTGTAGATTGACACAGAAGTATCCCTGGTCTTAGGGGGAGAGCCAGAGATAAAAGACTGGGAGCTATTTTGACTTTACAGCTGGGTAGTGAGGGCTGTATTTTACCCCTGAGGAGTGATGGGTTTTGTAGTTAGTAGCTCTGAGGGATGTTCTGAGCTACTGGCTCTTCAGGTTTTCTTATTTAATCCTTACTTGAATCTCTTCTGGCTTAGAAACTATCAACTCTGGAAGAAACTGGTTTGAGAGGGAAGCTAAATGACTTGTTCAGGATCAAGCTCCTGATCCTGTGGAGGTGACCACAAAGCCCAACAGCCTCTCCCGCTGTGGGTGGAGCTGAGTGCTCTGTGTTGTCACCTGTGGTAGTTGTGGCAAGGCTGGAGGAAAGGTGTTAACTCTTTCCTCCAGAGAAAGGGGAGGCTCAGGCACCTCACTGGCATGGAACTGTGTGACTGTGTCATTCCAGTCAGGCTCAGATTCTTGCTTTTGGAGAGTCCAACTGTTGAATCTAAGCTGTTGTCCAGTTGTACTGTACTATTCTTTAAAGGCATGTCCACCACGCCTAGCTTCCCTTTCTGGGATAAGAACAACACTAGGGCCCCACTACTGGTCTGACAGATTCTTGGTGGTTCTTAGGGAGATGCAGGAGAGAGAGAAAGCCCTGCGATTGCAGAAGGAACGACTTCAGAGGGAACTGGAGGAGAAGAAGAAGAAGGTAAGGGTGCTGGAAGAATGGGCTCCCTGTGGGGTCTGTACTGAGCTGTGAGCTGAGAGCATCGGGAAACCAGGGCTAGACTCTTTGGAAGGCCTGCCTTGCCACATGGGGTAGAAGTGTGGCAAGAGGTCAAGGGAGACACATATCTTGTTGCTGGCTGGATCCCAGGAAGAACAGCAGCGCCTGGCTGAGCAGCGACTGCAGGAGGAGCAGGTGAAGAAAGCCAAGGAGGCGGCAGCAGCCAAACAGGTTCTGAATATGACTGTGGATGTGCAGGTGAGGCCTGTGACCCCGTTGGGAGGGCACGATCCCTTTCTCCATTTGCTTGCACACTCAGGCTGTGTCTTAGAGCTTGAGGAGAGAGTAGGTCACTTGTTAGTCCTTTTTTTTTTTTTTTTAAATTTGGTGACAGAGTCTAGCTGTATAACCCAGGCTGACCTCATATTTATAATCCTTTTAACCTTACCTTCCCAGTTGCAGTGGTTAAAGGACCATCTGTGGTGTGGAGGGCTAGTTGAAGATCATGGTGTGTCTTGAAACATCTCTGAGGGAGGGACATGCTGAAGTGGAACAAAGCTTGCATGCTCCAAAGTGGTGTTTACATTCCCTGACTTGTTAAAAAGCTTTTCTTTTTTCTTTTTTTCCTCCTTTAGATGTTATGTAGATGACCAGTGTAGCAGTGTTCTCCAGGATTGCAGGGGAGGGGAGTTAATGACCATGTTGATTTTTTTTTTTTTTTCCTAGTCTCCTGCTTGTACCTCCTATCAAATGACTCCACAAGGACCCAAATCCTGCCCCAAAATCAGCACAGAGGACTATGGGATGGACCTAAATAGTGATGACTCTACAGATGATGAAGCCCATCCCCGGAAACCCATCCCTTCCTGGGCCAAAGGTGAGCAGGGCCCAGAGTTCTTGAAGAGGCTTAGGCTGCCTCCCTTCCTTCCTTTGCCGGGTACGGAAGTGGTGGCTTAGCTGCTGCAGGTGTACAAGCGTAGGTGCCAGTGGCTTACAGCATTGACCTGAGAGGCCTGTGTTGGGCTTTGAGCATGCACCTAGAGGTAGGAGGGTTATTCTGGCCTGAAGGCTTGAGAATATAGGATGAAGGGTGTTGAGTTCCTTTGCATTGAGTGCAGTAGTGACTGGCTCAAGCAAAGTATGTTGCTAAGTATTCTGACGTAGACTCGAGTCCCCCCATTCAGAGTCTGGCTTAAAGGATTCATGAGGCTTGGACCCAAGAAAGCATCCATGGGAGAGCATAGAACTGAGAGGGTAGCAGGGTTTGGTTGGAATGCTAAGACCTAGGAAAGGCCACAAGAAGGGGTATTTATACTGGAGCAGGATTTGTCTCCAGTCTGGGGGTTTCAGATTTATACAGGGGTGTGGGTGGGTGTGGTGCTGTTTCTGGCTTGGGTGTGGGGTCCTGCTAGGCTACTTTTTAGGATTTGCTGAACTGAAGGTTATACAGGGTGCTGACTTCAAATCCCACGGTGGGTCAGCATTCAACAGAAAGACACCTTACTTTCAGGACTGAGCTAGTTTGAACCCCACAGTAACTAGAATCTTACTTTCCTCAGACACTGATTACTGACTCATGTAAACTAACTTAAGAGCAGTAAACGGGCCAGTGTGGTCAGCAAAGTCGGCTGATGGTTGGCCTTAGGTAGGTTACTTAGTTTTTGTAACTGAAGAGGAAGTGAGTTATATTAAGACCCAACTGAGATGATTATTGCTAGTGAAGTAATTTATGAATAGAGCTGGTAGGAAGCAAGCCCAGGCTGTGTTTCCTCCTGATCCTCTAGGGTCTTCTTCGGCCTAATTGGCAGGGTTGTGCCTCCCTCAGCTCTGCTCCTTCAGCCTGCACGCTCTCCTTAGGGTCTGCGAGGTTGGTGGGAATAGCTAGGCAAGCAGGCCTAAGATCTGGAGACAGGTTTGTCTTCACACTTAGCTCTGCCATCCATCTCCCATGTGCCTTGGGTCAACTCTACAAAATGGGGAGAATAAAGTATTGCCTAAGCTAACTCCTGGGGTGCTTTCTTTGGGTTGAACTGCTAGGAGATGGAGATAAGATCATGATTGTTGTTGGGTGGGGTTGGTCAGAAGGAGGCCTCCAGAGGAGCAGATCGAGTAGGGACAGGGCGTTCTGGTGTGGAGAGGGTGGCTGGACCCTGGGTAGGTGCAGGGATCGGGGAAGCTCCCAGAGTACCAGGCAGTGATCCAGGCCTCTGGTTTCCTCAGGTACCCAGCTCAGCCAGACCGTCATCCACCAGTATTACCACCCCCCGAACCTTCTAGAGCTCTTCGGAACTATTCTGCCACTGGACTTGCAGGAAATATTTGAGAAGAGCAAGCCCCGCTACCACAAGCGCACTAGCTCTGCTGTCTGGAGCTCACCTCCCCTGAAAGCGACCAGGGTCCCCAGCAGCTTGGCCTATAGCCTGAAGAAGCCATGAGGCAGGCCCTCAGCCCTCTTGGAAGTACAGGGCCTGTGTTTGTCTGTCTTGTCTGTCTCTCTGTTTGTGTGTTGGGCTGGTGCCCTTCTGTCTGACATGCCATTGTTCAGGTATATATCAATATCCCCTACTTGTCAGGTGTTCTCAGTCCTGATTGGAGGGCAGGCTGGGGAAGAACCAGGTTCAGCACTGATCGGTCTGTAGGCAGTACTCTGTAAATAGATTATTTCAAATCAGTTGAATTTTCGTTTCTAGTGTTTATGAGATAGTTTAATAAAGTATGTACCCTGAAGCTTGCTGTGGATATTGTGAAGACTACAGCCTTCAATGGAATGTTGATCTGTAGTAGCATCTTGTATCTTTACCTGCAGTGTGCCTCAAAATCACTTGTTTGGGCCAGATGTGATTCCACCCAGAGGTTCTGATGCCAGACAGTCCATAGGGAACACCTCAGCACGTCCTGAGAGGGTACATGCTTCCTATTTGTAAATGGAGTCTATTCGTTGGGAAAGTCTTCGACAAAGCTTTGCGTCCTAGTCCCTCAGCCTGACAGATCCTCTGGTTCGGCCATGCTTGCTGCATGGGGAGTGGAAGGACTTGAGAGGGTCCTTGTGCTGGGATCTAGTCAGGAAAGGAATGCTCCTCTAGATGACATTGGGACCTGTGATTGCAAATGGGAGATTCCACCACAAAACCACTAGCTACAAAGTGAATGCTTAGCTCAGCGAAGGGTGGCCTTGGTCCTGACAGCTCCTGATGCTCTTTCCTCTGGAATTGAGGTCAGACACCTGCGATAGACAGGCCAAACTAAAACACAGTTGTTTTGGGCACACTTACAGTAAAGCCAGTTTGTTTTCCCATTACCTCCAGCAGGGCCACTCCGGGAATACTTCTGTAGCCTGAGAAGCTGACAAGCTTTCTCTGGAAACTTGTTCACTAGACCTTGGCCAATTGCTTGAGGTCAAAATACAGACTAAATACAAATTGCAGAAGTGCTTTACACAGTGAGGAAGCAGTGAACACAGTAGTCTGAAGTCTAGAAGACTCTTCCCACGCAGAGTTCATGTAGGGTTCACTCAAAGATGGTGCAAGAGTGTGCTTTACGTGTGTATTCTCACTAATAACTGTTGAGTAAACTGGAAGGAAGGTCTGTCTTAATCCACCAAATGAAACTCATTTGCCAGCACATGTATTCAGTTCTTAGAAAAGCAAAGGAAGGCAGTTCATTTACGCTGAGTCTCCCCTAGCATTTCATATTTGTCTGTTTCTTACTGTAGCTACCCTAATGACTGTATGGAGATATTTCATCATGGTTTTAATTTGCATTTTACTAATAGCTGTTGGTGAATATAATTTCAGATTCTTACTCATTGGCAACGAGTATATCTTGTTGCCAATAAAAAAAAAATACAAGTCTGTTCAAGTCCTTTGTGCATTTTGAAGTTGGGTTTTTAATTTTTTTACTGTGGCATTAATACTTTGTATTTTAGAAGCGTAGTCTTTGTTAGATGTGCTTTATGGTATTTTCCTCTGGTCTAGCCTGCAGCTTGTTTTTTTCGTTTCTGACACTTTCATAGATTTCTAATTTGGCGAGGTCTGTTTGTTACTTTACAGGTTATATACCTTTTTGATGTCATTTCTAGGAAATCCAAATACTTCCTTCTGTGTTTCCTAAAATAGTCCACAACTGACCTGGTGCATGAGATGAAAAAGAAAGCTCAGTGCTACAATTAGACATCATCTGTCTGTCCTCAAATACAAAATGGCAGTTAGCTGGAGATGATCATAAATCTCATGTACCATTGGCATGGGCCCTTCTGCTCAGATTCCTCAAGGACCAGAACTTATAGTTAAGTCTTAATCCGGTGCTTTAACTCTTCCAGCTTTGTGGGTTTTTTTTTTTTTTTTTTTTGAATTTATTTTGACTTGTATTACTTTTACCTTTTCATGTAAATTTTAGAATCAGCTTATATGTATAAAACTCTGCAGTTTTCCTGACTAGAATTTTATTGAAAACATAGATCAATTGGAGGGGAGCTTGGCACACTTGAAATCTTCTTTCACTCTGCAAATAGCATGTCTCTTATTTACATCCTTGGTTTCTGTCATGAGCATTTTGTGGTCTGAGCATATATCCTGTACATTTTCTGTTAAATATTTATTTTTGTGCAGTTATTTTAAATGGTATTGTTTTTCTGGTTTTGGTTTATACTTGTTCATTGTTGGTATATAGAAATACAGTTGGTTTTTCCATGTTGGTCTTGTACTTTGTGATGTAACTAAAGCAATACTCGGGAATTTATGGCACCATTTCCTCATGTTAGGGGGTTAAAAAAGGGTCTACAGGGCCTCAGTTGCCACTTTAAGAAGCTAGAAAATGGGCTGGAGAGATGACTCAGCAGTTAAGAGTGCTGCTGCTCCTTCAGAGGTCCTGGCTTTGATTTCCAGAATGCACATGGTGGCTCACAGCCTTAGCTGCACTTCCAGGGACTTGCTTGCCCCTCTGTCCTCCATATGAACTGTACACATTTTGGACAACACAGATAGGCATGCAGGCAGGTCACCCATACACATAAGTACATAGAAGAACTAGAAAAGGTAAATTTAAAGTAATAAGACAAAGGGCATAGGCAGGGAAGAAATCAGTGATACTAGGAAAAAAATTAAAGCAAAAGCTTGTGATTTGAGATGTTCAAGAGAACCTTTAAGTTTCTATTGAGACTCAGAAGGGGAAGGCACAGGTTACCTTGTCAGAAAGATGGGTGTCAGTACAGTTATTAACAGGTATTAAAATAGTAAAACAAACAAACAAACAAACAAAAAAACCAAACAGGTGTGGTGGTGTGTGCCCGCAATCTCAGTACTCATGTAGAGGCAGAAGGGAGTATGAGGCCAGCCAGGGCTACATAGTGAGATTTTTGTCTCAAAGTAAAACAGCACCTAAAGCAAAACAATGAGATTGTCTGAACAACTTGGAGATACAATTGACCAAATGACACATTCCCTGAAAATACAAATTGTCTCAGTTCACCTAAGAAATGGAACACCTAAGTAACCTATGAAAGAAACTGACTTTTTAGCTAATTTCTCACAAGAAATACAAGGTCTGAATAACCTGAGTAGCATTATACATTTTTATAAGAAAATAAAACCATTTCCCTACTGCCTTGCACCCATGAGGGCAGCAATGTCCAGATTCCAAGCTAAAAAACTGTTTCATTAACTTTCATTGAGTGTAAGTGAATATTTCCTTGTGTTTTTCTCTTTAGGTATTTTTGTTTGTTCTTTCTTTCTTTGGGGCCTGGAGCATGATAGCATTTCACTATGTAGCTCAGGCTGTCCCTTGACCTCAAGATCCTTTTGCCTTCAGCCTCCTAAGTGCTGATAGAATGGATGTGTGCATTCATGCCTGGCAACACAAGATTTGAAAAGTTTTAACACTTATGATACAGGTTCCCTTATGGGCAGGTAACAGACCAAATGAAATTTGTCTCAGGGATGCAAGGTAGAGTTAACATTCAAAACTCAGTGTAATTCACCATGGAAATGGAATAGGAGGAAAGTCATGACCAAGCAGATATAGGAATTAAAACTGAAAAATTTCATGCTAATACTTAAAGACTAAATAATTTGGGTTTAAGGGTAATTGTTTATGCCCCATTTTCTAATTGTACCATAATTTCAGTGTGTGCGATATAAAAGAAATACCCATTTTTTAATATAAAATCATGGGACATCAGTAAGTGAGGTCAGGATTCCTTTCACCCAAGTGTCTGCCACCATGTTAGAAAGATGCCTCGGACACTTAGGCACAGGAGTACTTGTCTTAGCAAGGAAGACAGAACCAAGGCTGGATAGGCAAGTCTCCAAGAGAAGACTTCAACATTACACTTGAGTAAAAGCTCTAGTCTGCCAAGCCTGATGGACCCAAGTTCAGTCCCTGGGACCTACGTTATGTGGTAGAAGGGGAGAATCACCTGCCAGAAATTATCCTTTGCTGTCTACAGTGGAATGAGTATGTACAAATGTGTACAAAATGTCATTCATAAAGTTTAGAACTTTGAATTGTGGTCTAGGTATGTTACAGAAGATGCTGTGTGTTTAATTTTGCCAAAAAATTTGCAGTGTGAGGTCATTATCTTTCTGTCTAATTTGTGGGGACAAATAGGTTGAACAGAATGATTTTTATTTATTTATTTTTAAAAGTATTTGTTTATTCTCATGTGTATGTGTGTGTCTGAGTGAGTTTGTGTGTACAGCATGCCAACAACAGCCCAGGGGACTCAGAAGAGGGCATTGAATGCCCTGGCACTGGAGTTGTGAATGGTTGTGGGCCACTATGTAGGTGCTGGGAATCAAACCCAGGCTTTTACCTACTGAGCCATCTCTTCAGCCCCTTTAAACTTAATTCTATTTAAATCTTTTAAAAATTAAAAACAGTTATTTTCACAAAGCATATTCTGATTGTGGTTTCCTCTACCTTATCGTTCTCCATAGTCTCCACACCTCCTTACCCTTTCAACCCCACGTCTTCTTTCTCTGTCAAGAAAATAGGCAAATAAAGAAGACAATGATAAAACAGAACAAACAAAATTAACAAAAATCTAAGAGCATGAGAAACTCAGACACACACACACAAATTGAAAATTAGAAACCGTAATATACAAGCAACAGACCAGTAAGGTTTAAAAAAAATTTCCAAACAAAGCAATATAAGATTAAAAAAAAGAACAAAACCAAAAATACCTTTGAATTTCTTCTGTGTTGGCTGGATATGGAGCCTGCTCTTGTACGCAGTGAGACTTGGAGAAACTTATTTGCTTTGTCAGTGGCTGTTCATTGGTGATAGCTTCTTGGTTGGGGATGGGAGCTCACGTCTATGAATTGCTTTCTTCCTCTTCTCTACCTTCCGTCTCTGCTTTCCTGCCTCATCCTCCAAACATGGGAGATAAGTACAGGGGGACTTCGGCCATGTGTATCTACGGTCAGTTCTGTTAAGGGCTTCACCTCGATCCAGAATGGAAGTCTATATTTTTCAGTCTGGCTCTATTGGTTCCAGTGTGGTCCTCTTCTCAGATCATTCTGTTAACTTCCCAGTATGCAGTGCTTTTCTCTGATTAGCCCTGTACAAGTGGCTGAGGGAGGAAATATATGGCTTCCCACATATTTCCTCTTTCCTCTTCTTCAATCTTTCCCCCATTTTGAGACGGTTTTCCTTTGTAGTTTAGGGCTAACCTTGAAGTCTCAGAACATCTCTTGTCTCCTTCTGGATTTCTGGGATTGTAGGTGTACACAAAGCCACACCTGGATCTAGATATTTTTGTTTTTCTCTTCATCATGCCCCTCAAAGAAGCCTCTGCATGCTCATATTGCATAGGTGGCCATTTTCTATATTCTTCACAGTTCCATAAGCATGGTGGTGCTTAGGTGGTCTTTGTTAAAGTGACATGTCTGCACCCCACAGGATGCAATGGGGTGTTCGGTGTTTGAGTCTTTTCATTGTGGAATTACCAAAGGCTATACTAGGGACTGGCATGTAGGAAATATTTGAAGAATGTTTTTTAAACTGAACCTAGCTATAAGGATTGGACTTCAGGGTGATAACATTCCATGAAGAATCTGGGAATCTGTCTGAATATTTGCAATAGCTCACTAATAGAATGTGGTTGGGAATTATATTGGTAAATGGATGGAACTAGAAAACATTCTATTTAGTGAGGTAACAGACCCAGGAAAACAAACTTCACATGTTCTTTCTTATGTGTAGCTGCAGATGTGAGCATGTAACCTGGAGTAGCTGCAGAAACAAGGGAAGTAAAAAAGGAAGCATGTGGGGTAAGAGGAGGAGCTCTAGAGAAGGGAATAGTTAAGATCTGGGTGATGTGATGGCTATTCTTGGGTCTCAACTTGAGACCCAAGAATTAACTAAAGCCCAAGCTGCCCAGTATGCCTATGTAATTGTTCTTGATGGGATTAGTTGAGGTAGGAAGATATGCCTTAAGTCTGGGCTGCATGTTCTAGTGGCAGCCTAAATAAAGGATATGGAAGAAGGAAGTGCTCCCTCTTTCCCTACTTGCCCTCATTCTTGCTGGCAAGTTTACTTCTTCACTGGTATTAGAGCTTCTTTTGGACATCCAGCCTCAGACTGAACAACTATAGAATCTTGGAGTTTTTTTTTCCTTCAGGAGACAGTCTTTTTTTTTTTTTTTTTTTTTTTTTTTGATTAGTCGGACTTCAGGCTGTGTAAGTTACTCTAATAAATGTGTGTGTGTGTGTGTGTGTGTGTGTGTGTGTGTGTGTGTGTGTGTTTGGTGTATATTCAATTCTGTTTCTCCAGACAACCCTAATACAGGTGCTTTGAAGGGGAAATGGAAAAAACAGGGCAGGGAACTTTAATTAGTTGGGGGCTCATATAGAATAAGAGGGAGGAAGGAGGGATAAAGGACACCAAGGATGATTGAAAAGCCGCAGGGAAACATTTTATGTTTCTGTAAAATACATATATAAATGTATGTGTATTCATACATACAGTTTAAGTGGAGTTATGCGTGGGATGATAAGGCTGTGTTAGACCAGCTTGCCTCCATCTTAAGATTAGAAGCCATCTTACTACAAGGTCAAAATAAGTTTCCAGTAAAACTTGGGTTTGACTAGGTTTTGACTCATTTTCTGGAATTTGCCGTATTCCACATTCTATGCTCTGACCTCCACTCTGATAAGGTGCTCTGTCAAGTGTTCTTGAAATGTTTAGCCAAGTTTGGCTATCCTTTTTCCACTTTTATTCCACCTGGGACCATATGACTGGTGTAACCTGGATTCTGGGTCTGACTTCCTCCTTCAGTTACGGTCACACATACCATCCTTTTGGGAGATGACCTTACTTCATGCACACGAAGTAGCTAATGTTGACTCAGGTGGTCTGCCTTGTACGGTGGGGTTGTGAAAAGCAACCGGAGCAGCGAGACGTACACAAGCAGAGTTCATGCTATCAAAACTCCTGGTCACTAATCACTCTGCTGGAGGACACACTCCCATGTACAGCTGGAGAACTCCATGTTCAGCCTTCACAGCAGTGAATAAAAGGATGGTGGCTCCAGGGGTTGGTGCACCCAGTGACATCAGGCTCAGAGTCATTAGACTCTAGGCTTATCCCAGTCAGTGTGATCTGCTACTAGCCCGGCAAAAGACCTCCCTCTCAATGCACTTTCCTACCTCATTTGAGCCTCCTGGGCCTGCCCCACTGCT